GTTGATAAACATCTAGGGCTGAAATTCTGGATTATTTTTATTTTTATCCTTTTATATACTTTTAATGTTTATACAGTATGCAATATGTATAATAACCCATTTTAAAATCGAAATATAATCTATCAATTTTGCATGAAAAACTTGAACACCCTAAACAATAAAACCCCTAGGAGAATAATTAAGTGCTGTATTAGTGCAACTGGGAAGCTGTACTAGATACAGGCAAACCCACAGGGCACATGGTCAGGTCTGCTCAAGGTAGGCCAAGGAATGCTGTGTCAACCAGAAGATTCAGCTTATCAAGAGGAGAGTAAGGAGGGAACGATATTCATTTCAAAGGAAAAAAACCTCACACTGGCATAAAATCGTGTTCCTCAAAGTATGACACAAGTGTACCTCCTAATCATCTGGAGTCATTGTAGTGTACATCTCTGCCAACTCAAACCCACTAAATCAAAACTCCGGGGCCTGGGGCATAGGACCCTGCCTTATGCCTGGCTCCCTGGGTGGTTCTCATACCCAAAATTTGTTAACTACATTACAAAAAACCAAAGCGGTATGACATTCTTTGGAAATTGACCATAATTTAGTGCAAACTGAATTGTAGCTTACAGGTGATGGTGGAATGGGGGGAGATAAATCTGGAGAGGAATGTCATGGTCCACTTGTAAGAAGACTTAAATGGCACAGTAGGAACTTTGACAGTTAACATGAAGATCCAATAGGAAACCACTGAAGAGTTTTAAGAGTAGTAACCCGATACGATTTTTTTTTTTCCAGAAAGATTACTCTGGCATCAGTGTGGATGACTGGATAGGGAGCAGACAGGCAGGAAGGAAACTTGGGAGAATGTATTAATTTTCCTGGAATAAGATAGCAGCATTAGCGTAGACTTGAATACATACACTTGGTGACCAATTGAATACTGAGTGAAGGGAGAAGTAATTTGGGATGAATCCGATTCCCACATTTGCTTGCCTCCATTCTAGACTTATAACAGAATATCTAGACAAAGAATATCTTAAAACTACAAGCTGTACTTTTCTACCTTTGCTTATTTTTATCACAAGACCAATATTTTACTGGAAACATGAAGCCTATAAAGATAAGCTTGTGCAGCCACTATAATAATACAAGGACAGACACTCCAGAGGACATTCTCTTACTGAATAATATCATTAGCTAAATGTCTACAAGACTGTCGTCAGAGATAGGATGTATACTTGGAGATACTGTGATCCAGGCAATCTTAAAGGCTCCATTGCAGTTTCTGTGGTTCAACATGTGACAGTGTGTGTGCATAGGGGAGGAATGAGTGGTGGTCCCGAGTAATTTTTTTTTCAATAAAAGACTATTTTATTAAAAGCCAGCCCATTCTTTTTTGTGTCATTTTGTGTCCCACAATGAGACATTCCTTTTAATCAGTCTGTCTGGTAAAACCACAGCAGTGACTTGTCTTCAGGCTGATTGTGGCAAGAAGGAATTTCCCTTAGACTGCAGGATGACCTACGACAGCTTTATATATTTCCTCATTAAAATAAAATGGCAGACGTTTGGGGTATTAGAAAATTGTTTTCCAGAGGCTCTAATTCCTACCCAACCTGAACAGACAGCTACAGCTATAGCCTGAATGTAGGCTGAGCAATCTCCTGAGGTCTTTGGCTGCAGGGGAGTTAAAGGGGGCAAATACCAAATCAAGCTTCCCTGTAGCACGAGGAATCCCCAGAATTCCCAAAGGCTCTGTATCACTCACTGGACAATCCCAGAGCACATAAGATCCTTCTGTTGTAATCATTCTCAAAAACCACCAAAAGTAGTCCAAATACAGGCCTTACTCAAACAAAAACCTTTTAATGATATGCTGCTTTTTGGTTACATCCATAGAGAAGCTAAGAAAGCACTCCTCCTCCCACTCCTTTTAAAAATGTCATTGGTTTCGGGCGCCTGGGTGGCTCAGTCGGTTAAGCGGCTGCCTTCGGCTCAGGTCATGATCCCAGGGTCCTGGGATCAAGCCCCACGTCCAGCTCCCTGCTCAGTGGAGAGCCTGCTTCTCCCTCTCCCTCTGCCTGCCTCTCTGCCTACTTGTGCTTTCTCTCTCTCTGTCAAATAAATAAATAAAAAATCTTTAAAAAAAAATGTCATTGGTTTCTTGGAGAACCTAACGTATCTGTCCTATAGAGTGTCCAACATTATGGATTTGGCCGATTGACCTTCCCTTGTTTCTTGTAAATTGTGCCTTTATCCCCAATATTGCCTCATGATCTGGCAATATGATAGTGAGATCTAGAGGTTTGATTAACTTCTGGTTCAATTTTTTTTTTCTTTCTGCAAGATTCCTTCATGGGGAGGAGGTGTGCATTACTTATTGCATCATATCAAGAAGCAAATAATGTCTATTGGCACATTTTTATTAATGTTAAAATTATCCATGGATTCAGAGACATAAGCCTAATTTCTCCATCAACCTTTCATGCCATGATTTTAGCATCCACAGATGATCATTACCCAGATGTATACTTTCATTAGAGCTATGTTCTCACATTTTAGTGCATGTGGTAGGTGAGATTCTTCTGTGAATAGCTTCCATATACTAGTTAGTTTCCTGGTATAATTTTAAGGATAAACAAAAAAGGATAAATGCTTTATTCTTTCTGTTAATTTATCATTTTTCAAAGTAATGAGAGAGTGCCCTAGCAACCTCCAAAAGTGACCAAGGAGGTGTGTATGTGTGTGTAATTATCAACTTGTTTTGTATTCATTTTTATATATCTATATATATTGCAGTCATTATTTGTTTTGATGTTCATAGTGCCTCATTTTATTTATTTATTTATTTTTACGATTTTATTTATTTTTTGACAGAGAGAGAGACAGCGAGAAAGGGAACACAAGCAGGGGAGTGGGAGAGGGAGAAGCAGGCTTACGGCCAAGCAGAGAGCCTCATGCGGGGCTCGATCCCAGGACCCTGGCATCATGACCTGAGCCGAAGGCAGACACTTAACGACGGAGCCACCTAGGCGCCCCCATCTTGCCTCATTTTAGATCACTGAAAGGCCAACATTAATGTTACTCTCCTGTTTTTGTGACATGATTCAAATAGCTTCTTGCTATCTGGAATAGATGGCCCAGGTTCATCTTATATATTTCCTGTCCCAGACCTGGATTCAGTGATTTCTCCTAAGAGACCTGGTTCCTCTTAATGAGAAATCATATTTAGAGACCACAATCTGAATGGGAGGTGTACTTACTGGATTGTCATTGCTTCAAGGACTTTTCAATGAGAGTGTGGAAAATACTTTTTTTTCCCAAAGAGAAAATAAATTTTGATTTCATGCTAATATTTATATTCCAATTTAAAAGTTAAAGATTTTTTCTTCATTTCTTAATTTCATACTTTTTCTCTTAACACTGAAAATCTTGACTTCTAAAGAAATAAATTCTTATATTTTCTTACAGAATATATAGTATAATGTAGCATTCTATGTAAGTTCAAAATAACAATATCAATATTACTAATAAGACTACTAAACGTATTTTCAGATTTCTTCACAATTTATTTGACCCTTAGATTATATCCCTTAAAAGATAGTCAAAATACTGGCTTTGAAAGTTACCAGAAATAATTACGTATTCTCTCTGTAGTTAGGCAATTATCTGATATTCATTTGGGTTCAATTGTTTTGGTTTGTTTTCAGTTGTAGAAGGAATGCTTTCTATTCTTTGTAATTTTGCTTTCTTATTATGCAAAATGTTTATATGGTCTAAGATCACAAGTATATAATAAGGTATATTCACATAAATTTTATCTCCATGCCTGTCCCATCCTGTTTCCTCCTTCCTGCTGTAGGTAACTATTTTTAGTATCTTTATGTCCTCTGTGATGTGTGTATTTATTCATGTTGTTCTAGACCCTTTTTTAAAATGTATTCTGAGGATCAGATGATATCCACATATAGATATTTTGCTCATTTTTCATCCATTTCTTCAATCCCCTACTGATGATTATCTGGTTTGTTTCCAGTTTTTGATTCTTCCAAATAATACATCAATGAATGTCCTCAGGAATATACCATTTTGTATTTTTGTCACAATACCTCTAGGATAGATTTTTTTTTTTTAAGATTTTATTTATTTGAGCGAGAGAGAGCACAAGTAGGGGGAGTGGCAGGCAGAGAGAGAGGGGGAAGCAGGCTCCCCACCAAGCGGGGACCCCAATGCGGGACTCCATCCCAGGACCCTGGGACCATGACCTGAGCTGAAGGCAGACGCTTAACGACTGAGCCACCCAGGTGCCCCGGGGATAGATTTTTAAAAGAGGGATTGCTCAAGTGAAGGATAAATGCGCTTACAATTTTGCTAGATTGGGGGCATATTTTAAATATATTGATCTTGCCATGAAAATGTAGGAATTTTTAAAAATATTCTTATTACAGAGAAAAGAAAAAACTTTAACTAGAATGATCATATTTATCAAGAATAATTCATTAGTAGAATTTAAATTACTAAATTCATGGTCTGTAATTTAAGTGAATGCCTTGAACAGTTCAAAAATTTTAACAATTTTAGTGGTTTCCAATCTAAATATCTTTGGAAGTAATGTAAGATCTGTATGTATAAACAAATATATACATGTGAGTGAGGATGGATGGGTGGAAAGGTAGATAGAGAGAGAGAATTTTATCCCCAGAAGAAAGCATTTCTGATTTTAATAAATTTACTAACTTCTTATTCAAAAAAGTTATTATCTTCTAAATGACACAGTAGATAAAGAAGTTAGTCATGTCTATATAACAGCACTTGTAATATTTTCTAAAGTGTTGGTAAATCTGCAAGTTTGTTTCCTTGGGCCTAAAATATAATCCAATTTTTAAATGCAAAATAAAATGTATTTGCTGGTCCTTTTTATGATCATATGTGTTAAGAGAACATGGCTATATTGTCTCATGCTTTTCAGTTACTATCACCTTCTGAAATCATGAAGAACAACTCCAAGAACTGGGTGAATCATATTTGCTTTTATATCTTATGCACAGCAAGAATTCAACTACATTAAAATATATGTGAACAGTAAATTAAAAATAATAGATTCACATTTGAATAGCAGCTAGTTATGTGTAAAAATACACAAAAAAGTAACCTGTAGCAATAAAAACTTGTGTATAAATCATTAATGATTCATTTCCCCTTATCACCATATTCTTCTTCAGATATAACCATAGAGGCAATATCTCCACAAGATGACATATAGGAAAAAAGGTTAAAATTACTTCTTCCAAGTTTTCACCCTTCTATGAGCAAAGACAATCTTCGGCGTCTTCTTATCCTTTTGCTTCCTCACAGCTAAAGTCAACAAAATAAAAATAAATATCATATATCTCCAGTCCATAGGCTCACTTTAAATAATCAACATTTCCAAGATGCTTACACACTCACCTCAAGTATTTTTAATGATTATAAAGTCAGTTTTACTCACTATCCACTCAAGTTAGTAACTTTCTACCTCTAAAAGGCAAGGATACAGTACAATCAGTACTAAAGTGCTCTTTATGTAGAAGTGGTCTAGAAATGGCAATATGCTATTAAGAACATGGATATATAAAATATAATTTTGCTTATGAATTATTTATAAAATTAGTTTAAAAATTGAATAAGAAAAAAACCTACCTTTTATACAAGCATATGTGCAGTCCTCCATGTTAACAAAGTTATTGTCATTCCCTCCACAGCCAGTATAAGTGAAGTTCTCGCAGGCTTTGTGTCTTGGATTAAAATAATAGCGCGTCACATTAGCAGAGCATAGTCCCCCATCTTTCGGACTGTGACAATATGACGGAACTTGATGAAAAGGAAAACAAAATTAGAAATGCAATAATACCAAAATTAATAAACTGTGATGATTACTGAAGTAACTGAAGAAAATCTAATCCCACTGAAGCTTCATTCTGAATTCAAAATATCATACTAAACCATTTAAAAAGTGTGTCTCAATTTTCAAGAAAGCTTACATGCTCTAGTTTGTTAATTCTAAAATTTTTATAAAGTGGAGAGAATTTCTTCTGAAGCTATGTCCTTGTATCATTTGAATGTGTTAAGAAATTAAACCCAAGAAACAGATATGGTCAGGTAGAAATCGGCTGGGTTTCAAGGATTGATATATGACATGCTTTAGTAAACCTTCTTGTGTTGGTAGGTTTATTTTAAATGTTTTTATCAGCTCTCCTTCCATCATTAATCAAGAATACATTTATGTAATTCCCAAGTAGGCACTGGAACATTTATACAAAAAATTTAAGGAAACACAAGCAACAACCATCTCCTCATTAACACAAGCTTTTGCACACAGTATAGCTATAGAGCTTCCTCAGATCTCTGCCAAAGCAAGTTTTCCTTGTTAAGTTAATATATCTTTGGGTATGTGTGTCTCCGTTGTGCCTAGGGAAAATGTCTGTATTGTCTCTCTCTACAAAAGTATTGCCCAAGTAAGCCATCATTTCAGGACTGAGGGGGTGGGGATGTAGATAAGAAATCGGAGCGGAAAAAGGAAGGATAGAGAGGTCTTTGTCCTGCAGTTTGCAGTTGCTAAAGGATGCAGAAATCTAGCTGAAGACTTCAGACAGAAATTATCAAGATTCACCATCTGAGGTCTGTGTATATTCCTCTATCTCCTATACACAAGTGATTCCTTACAACCCTGAGGTCATGGCATTCAGAATACTGTGATTTAATTTAAAGGTTTTATTTAGTGGAGAGAGAGAGAGCAAGAGGGGGTGGAGGGGGCAAAGGGAGACAGAGAGATCATCTCCACGCTGGGCATGGAGCCCACTTTAGGGCTCAATCCCAGGACCCTGAGATCATGACCTGAGCCTAAATCAAGAGTTGGATGCTTAACCGACTGAGCCACCCAGGCACGCCCAGAATACTGTAATTTTTATGTGTAAATTAAGTAAATGAGAAATAGTTCTAAAGAAACAATCCAGAACAGGAAGCAAAAACTTCCTAGCCCTGAGACTTCCTAGCCCTGAGAACTTAGCAAGTCATTAACCTCTGGCAGCCTGTACTCTCATATGTAAACGGGGAAATAATAATACTCCCTCACAGGGCACATGTATAGAGTAGGACTGATATCCTACTGTATGTGAAATCATCAGAACACAAGGCATGTTAATTATACATCAAATTATTGATCTTTTCATCCTAAGATCTTAAAGAAATGAAATAGAAACCCCATAAAAATAGTATTTACTTTTCTTTGGTGCACAGAAGCCCTTACAAGTGTCCTCGTCCGGGAACCTGTTCTTATTGCTGTGACACCCGCCAGATATGAATTTTTCACATGTCATGGAACTTAGATTGAAGAAATACTCTCCTGTGCGCACTCCACACTGCGCCTCACTAACTTCCAACCTGCAAATTTTCGGAACTTCTAGGAAAAGGAGGGCATAAAACAATGCTAGTCAAAAATTAGCTTTCTTAGTATTATTTAGTATTATTTGCTTTTAGTAAGTAGTACTTAGTATTACTTCAAAACTTTACTGTATTTTCAGAAACAACTAAGGAGAAAACTATCACATTTAGTACTGGGATAGTAAATCCCCAAAAGACTTTTCCTTAATCCAGTTATTCAGCTCTTTTTTTTTTTTTTTTTTTTTTTTAATAGTGGCTCCAGACCTGAGTCAGCCAAATTCAGTGGAAATTCTCTCTGTTCTCTCAGGGTGTTCTGATTTTTCTACATATGAAGTTAATCAAACTTATTCACAGGAATACATACACATTTTTCCTTGGCTTAGTTCCTTGAATGGCAAAGTCCCATGGTTTGTTACTGGCCTTAATAAATAAAAATGATTAAAATGAAATAGAAACCATGATCATGAATCTCTACTATATCCCTGTACAAACCCAAAACAAGTTTGGGTGTCAGGGGACAAAAGGAAAAGTTACAGTTAGCTAAATCACACTTTAACAATAAAATCCGCTGAAAGTATTTCAGATTGATGGGTAATTGACACGAGGAAATGGTTCTCTCGAGGAGGCGTAAAAACCATAGGTTTAGAACTAGTGATAAAGAAAAGTACCTATGTGGCACCCAATAATACATCATACCCCTGCATCATCATGCCCTACGGTGAACTCTTGCCCTGAGTCTGCGCGGACACTGAATTATGATAAATGCCACTTAGGCTTAGAAATTTGTTAGCCAATGTAAACTTGTGATTACTTTCTGGAAATAACAAGTTAGCCTTACTTAATGTTTGAGAAAATGCAGGCTACAACTTACTGCGGAAATGGGATCTGGGAAATTAATTTACCAGCAGCCCTTCTGTGTAAGGAGCCGTGCAAGGGTTCTGAGCTTGAGCGCGGCCACTTACTCTCTATCCTCCAGCAAGCTTCGTTGCAGTCCTCCAAAGTTTCGAAATTGTTGGCGTTGCCCTGGCAGCCCCCGTAGAAGAACATGCGGCAGCTCTGCGTGTACCTGTCGTAGTAGTAACTGGGGATCCGGGCCCGGCACGGCCCCACGTCGGGGGACAGGAGGCAGATGTCTGCATTGTTTCCTTCTGCAGGAGCAGGAGAGCCCGAGAGAGGGAAGGAGGTCAGCCCCGTCTCCGGGAAGGTAGAGGCTTCCCAGGGACTTGTGTCCCTCCGTTTCCCAGCCCAGGGGGGTTTGCCCAGAGAGAAAGTACAAACTTCGGCACGAATATCCCTTCCCGCGGCTCCTGGACGCGCCCTGTGCAACAGGGGCCCGGGGAAAGCCGGGCGGAGAGAGCGGGTGCAGGGGACCCCAGAGCCGCCCCGCCCGCGCTGCCTACTGCGGGGCGGAAGCCCGGCGCAAAGAGGGGGTCCCGGACCCGCCAATACCTGGCGCCTCCTCATCACCGTTGCCCAGCGCGGTCCCCATCAGGAGCAACGGCAGAAGCAACAGCCCGAGGGGGCGAGTAGAGTCCATGCTGTCCGGTTTGAGTGGCCCTCGGGGCGAGGCGTTCCTTGAATGTGCCGGCGGGAAGAGGGTGCACGGAGTCCAGCCTCCAGGCAGCCTGGGTGCCGATGGGTGGGTGCCTGCTTTATGTAGGGTGAGTGTCCTCCCGACCCCGGACGGGGCGGAGCGTGCCTGTGCGGAGCCCAGGAGGCTGATTCATGCCCCACAGGCTGTGACCCACAGCCCTGTGTTGGAAAATGTGCGGGGGAGAGGAATTCCCCACCAGGTTGAACCTGCCTCCCAAACTTTCTCCTGTCTTGGCCAGAGTGACTAGATGCGGCATTGTGTCGGTGATGGTGGGCAAGCTAGAGGAAAATGACCTGGGGGTGATTGCACAAGGTTCAAACTTGCAGCATTACTCCATTATGAAAGCACGAAGTCCAAGTATTTGAAGGGCAGAGACAAAGTGTGAAATTCAGTGGACTGAGGGGAGCCTGGCTCCTTGCAATAGATTCCTTTATTAGATTAGAAATTTAAGTATGTGTATTTATTTACATGTATACATACGTACATATTTCAATCGAGATTTAATTTAATAAAAGGCTCATAATATATCTTAAGTGTACAGCACCATTCCAATCAAGAATTAGAACACTTGCAGCGCCCCAGAACATTCTCTCATACCCTTTCCCAGTCAATCCTCCCAATCCCAGGCAGGGGCAACCACTTCTTATCACGGGAGATTGGTTTTGCCTGTTCTTGAATCTCATGCAAATGGAATCATAAAGTGTGTATTGTTTGTACTTCTTTTGCTCCACTCCTATTTTAAAGACACACGATGTTATTGCATAGTTCATTTCTTTTAAATGCTGAGTCCATTCTTCCAATGTATGAATGTACTACAAATGTCCTGTTACTGGACATTTGTGTTGTTTCTAGTGTGAGACTGTTATGAATAAAGCTGCTTTGTGCATACATGCAGCTTTTATTACTCTTGGGTAAAATATTTATAAATGTTCAAAACCGCCACTTTCCCAAAATGATTATACCATTTTATACTCCCCCGCCCCCATTAGCTATGTGTAAGTATTGTGGCTGTGTTTTTTTGAGCTGGAACATGAAAGTCCATAGAAAGGTGGCCGTAGGGGATCCCAGATCAATCCCTTCCTGCACATTTCCTAATTGTCAGTGCATTAACGTTCATTGTTCCTCTGACATATTAGCCTGAGTCTAACTTTTTCCTTTATACAAAACAAATTATTTATGCTCGGATTTCACATGAAATATTGAAGCTATTTTTGGCGAACATTTTAATGGATTCTCTTGATGACTGTGTCTTCCTCCCCTTTTTCCTCTTGTTGTATTTAATATTCTCAATTTTCAGGAGAAAAGTTACTTCAACTTCAAGTTTTCATTCTTCTGAATATGATTTTCATTCTTCTGAATGTGATTAAATATATCTCCCATATGGACTAAAATAAATTCAAGGACTGATTCAGACTTGTCACTTAGCATTGACTATTGTCACTTCTGTTCTTTGTTCTCAGGTGCTGGTACTTTTTGATCATCTTTTGCTTCATATAAAAAGAGGAATCTTTTGTTTGTTTTAAGATTTTATTTATTTGACAGAGAGAGACACAGCGAGAGAGGGAACACAAGCAGGGGGAGTGGGAGAGGGAGAAGTAGGCCCCCCACTGAGCAGGGAGCCCGATGTGGGGCTCGATCCCAGGACCCTGGGATCATGACCTGAGCCGAAGGCAGACGCTTAATGACTGAGCCACCCAGGCACCCCCCAAAAAAGAGGAATCTTTTGAATTAGAGCAGGCAATTTTGGGAAATTGCATGATGCACTGGGAAAATGAATTTTATTCCTTGCTCCTTTGGAGAGTCACATAAATTCTCTGAGCCTCAGTTTCCTTCTCTGTAAAATGGATATAATGACTGTACTTTACATGGGTGTTATGAGGATTAAAGGCCAAGCGCCTAAGCACTCAAAGGGGTGGGCTTCAGCGTCTTACGCACAGGCACAGACTCCAGCCTGATTATCCATGTTTTGATTCCCATTGAGAGCCTTTGCACAAAACTTGAAGATGGGAGTGTCAACCACAGTCAGGAAACAGCACCGTGAACTGGCCTTGTAGGACTGAAGCCTGCGACATTGCTCTCACCAGCTCTCCTCTTTGGCTGAGCTCAGAGGCCACCTCTCTGCCTAGGAAGCTGTCACACAATCAGATATAACTTCATGATGGTTTCTTCTGGGGAAATGAGCTTAGGGTTCTTTCAGCCAGAGCAGAGTCCTTAGTCCTGCTAAGGACTCAGGATGTGCTGGAACACCTGGAGGGGAAGGAGAATGGGGAAAGGGCCAAAATCAGGCTTTTCACCCCTCTGTGGTGTAGAGTCTGTGGACACAGGGCAAAATTCATGTTCAGAGGTACTCCAGAAATGTTAACTTCCTTCCTTTATTCTATGCCAAATAGGGTGCATCTTTAACACCCCTGTGACCATTGAGCAGAGACAGGGAAGGAGAATTCAACAAGTGGGGACAGTTAGAAGTTTGAGATGATCAGGCCAAGTTATCAGGAAGGAAATTACGCCTCTTAATTGCAAACCACTTGAGTATTTTTATATCCATGAAAAGGATATCTTCCAATGTAAGGGGAATCTAAATGTTCTGGGACTACTTTAAATTACTGAATTTATCCTTAGGACCATGTGGAAGGAGCCATGTGACCACTGCAACCAGCCTCCATAGGGATGTCACAGTACTTCTGTATCCTTAAACCAGTAACTAAGCCAAAAGGTTACCACATAGCAAAGGAAAAGAATTCCTTTATCCAAAGTCAACAGGACGTGCAAGTCTGGAGGGAATTGCAAAGAACAGTCATCCAGATTGATTTGTCATTGTTACACCAAGTAATAGCTTTAGTGGCTGTTGCTAAAAATTGAGGTTCAAAATAGTTTGGAGTTCTGTGAAATAAGGCATGGAGTTCTTATAATTTGAGTGTTGAAGGAACTATAGATATCGTCTATTCCACTATTTTCATTTTACAGAATTATACAGAGACCTGGTCATGTTTACTTACCTTAGTTGTTGGCAGAGCTGAGACTAGGACCGAGGTTCTTGATATTCAGCCTTGTATTCTTCCTAACATTCCCATACCTGGACTCTTTCTACTGTACCGAGACCTTAGAGCAGAACAGTAAATACCAGAATGAAAACACACAGAGGCTACAGTGATTTCAGGAACATTTGTGCGTGTGTCAGATCCGTGCTTCTGTTCTTTCTCACCAACCCACTCCCGGCCCCGTAAAAAAAAAAAAAAAAAAAAAAGGATATGAAGTTGATTTGGAACACATTAGCTCCTAGAATTTCCAAGTCTCGAGTATGATGTTCTGTCTTCTGAGAGCCACACATGCTTGGACAGTGATCGTGAATTTAAGGGGAGGATTGAGGCAGATGGTCTTCTTCTCTGTCAGACACCTTAGAGAGAGGTGGCATGTTTAGCTCATAAATGAATGAGGAGAATTCATCCCCAGTGATTTGGGGATATATATTACATAACATAGTCACTTACCGAGTTACATTGATAACTCCCCAATAAACAAAATTGTCGCTGCCTGTTAGCTTAAAGCCAAAATAAAATCTGAAGTGAGTCCAGCTGGCACGACCAAAAATTTACGCATTTGATAAGAAAGGCAGTTCATCTCTTCTGAGAGATGAGGGATCACGAGGATTTTGTTCAAGTTTAGGCAACTCCTTCACCGACAAGGTGTTTTTCAAGTGAGTTGGGTCACGTAGGAAATGTTTGCTCTAGTGCGCCCTCTGTCGGAAACAGAGTGCATCGGTGAGCATTGTATAATAAGGCGGAGCCACGTAAGAGGATGAGACATTCTCTATGCCTAATTTTATTATTCTTGTTCTCCTTAGGGGAACGATATAATGGGGTATTTAATGTGTCTCTTACCGTGGTCATTTTTTCATCCATATATTTTTAAAATAAGCAGAATTACTATTTAATATGTGCCAAACCTTGTGCTAGGCGTTTGGAATACAAAGACAAATAACATGTAGGGATCTCATAGCACAATAGAGTAGACAGATGAACATCACATAACCCAATTGCAATATAGTGTTTTTAGTACAATATTAAAGATATGTACTAGGTTTTATGGGATCATAGAGGAGGAAATGAAATTTTAGCAAGCGCTCAGTTCTAAACAAAAGCCAATCTACACAAACAGATCTAACATTATATTTTTTATGCCTATGGGACACAGAGACTCACTCCTTCAACAGCTGGTTGCTTTGGTCTTTTTTTTTTTTTTTTTTAAGGTGTTGTGATTCTAGCAAAGCATTGCCTTCTGCAGGAAGGCAGAATCTTAGAAACCCCCTTTCTCTTCTACCTAGATGTATGTTCACTCAACTATCATGCCTACTTAAGAGGCAGACCATCTTTCCTCTTACTCAGATTGCTGAATACTTACCTTTGTAGGGCACCCAGAAGGCTGGGACAGAGTTTGGACTATTTTATCCAAGATGTTTCTGGCACAGTATGGCCTTACCACCTGCCCAGAATTCTAGCCTGGGCTACCAATCCACCAGAGAGTGTCATGTCAGGAAGGGGGGAAAGACAGAGAAAATTGCCCCTAATGTCTGTATATCATGTGGGAATAGCAATAACTATAATAATGAATATGACGCTGATTGAGAGTTTACATTGTACTTTGTGTACATTAACTCATTACATCTCCCACAATAACCACTGAGGGTGATACTTTATTCTCCCCATTCTGCAGATAAGCACTGAAACTTTAGGTGAATATGTGACTTGGTCAAAGCTATACAGTTACCTCAGGCCGTTGAATCCTGATCCGCTGGTCTCACTCACTGTACAAGCTTTTTCGTACACATTAGTGGGGCCCAAAGTCAGGCTTATTATATGTAACACGTGCTCATGATCTTAGTTCAGTACCTGGACAGCTAGATTACAGACTTCTCATTCAAACATAAAGTTTATAATTAAGAACAAACAGACAAACAGATCACTACAATTTAAATACATTGCTCTAATGCTCTAAGAGAAGCATCTGCCAAAGTTAATAATCAGATTAAAGGATTGAGAGAGTTAATCACTAAATCCTTACTTTCAGGGTTATATTTAGCAGAAAGTAATGGACCTTGACCTTTCAAGTATAAAGACACTCTTTCTTACAAAAATATTGTCATGTTTATACCCTAGCCCAAATCACATGTTATACATTACTTATGTGTCTGTCATAAACCCTCCATATGTTCATTTGTTCTAGTTTTATGTAGAAAAGCTTTTGTATCTTAAGTCACACAGAAGGGACAACCTACCATTTGGGGGCAGGGGGAGGCCATAGTTGCAGTTTGAGCGGGCAGTACATCTCCTAAGACTCTTACTATTTCACTATTTTTTTTCTCCCTCTTGACTATTAGCCAAGGAAACAAACTGAGTCAAACTAAAATGTCTGTATTGGAAGAGAGTTGACTACGCTAGCGTGAACTAGGGATACTGAATGAGCCAGAGAAGTGTGAGCTGTTCCTACTGGTGGATGGGATCTCCGGCACTCTCTTCCCCTCGCTTACAATAGAAGTCATGCCCTGGTCCAACCAGACACCAACCTGGTAGCTACTGCTCTGGATCCTTTCACCTCTTGCCTTCTCGAGGACTTCACTCCTCTCCTCTGTAACATCACTTCTTTCAGTGGTTTCCATTGGAGTGCTCTATCTCTGATTTTTTTTTTCCATCCCAAACTTAAAGTTCATATTTGACTTTCTATCCCTTTCCTGTTAGAGCCTTATTTCATTGCTCCCTTTTCCAGCAAAACTTATCAGAAATGTTATCTTCACTATCTACCTCCACTTCTTCATCTCCCCTTCCCCCACCCCCCATTGCACTCCAATTCAACTTCTACATTGGGAAGAGGAAGAATAGGAAGTGCTCCCGTCAAGAGCACCTCATCATGTTGCCACATCTTACTGGACCTCTCAATTCATATGACACCCAAAGCAGCTGCCACAGAGGTCACCAAGGACCACATTTTTCCATCTCAGCAGTATTTAACAATTTCAAACTCTTCCTCATCCTTGAAATGCTTTTCTTTGGTTTTTACTTTACCACATTCTTCTGGTTTCCTCCTACTTAGTTGAGTATTCCTTCTCAATCTGTCCTTCTCTGCCTGCCCATTAAAGGTGGGGTGACTCAAAGCTCAACCTTGAGAACTCTTTTCTAACTGTACTTTCTTCTTATGTGATTTCAAGTAGACACACACAGAGACACACACACACACATTTGTGTATAGTCTTGACCTCACCTCTGAATTCCAAACACTTACATCTACTTAGTATCTCTACTTGGATATCTAATACACATCTCAAATATTGTATGTCTTAAACTGAAGTCTTGATCATATACCCCAATCTTCCTTCTTTCTGTCAATGACACTTCTACTTAGACTTTCAAGCCCAAAACTATGGAATCACTCTTGACATCTCCCATCTCTTCATCACCCAATCCATCAATAGTCCTGTCAATTCTACCTCCAAATCACATTTTTAATCTGCCTATATTTCTCTATATCCATGGCTACCAATATTGTTCAAATCTCTCTGTTCTTAAAGGACTATTATGTTAGGTTCTTACATAAAATCCCAGTTTCCACTTTTGTTCCCCTTCAACCCCACACAGCAGAGTGTTTTTAACACATCAGAACACCTCACTTCCTCAAAATCAAAACCGTTCATTAGCTCCTCACTTTATTCGTCACCATTCCTCTGGGTGACTCTATGTGACGTGGCTGCTCTCTTCCCTGACTGACTTCACCCCATCATTCTCCTTCTTACTCTACTCGTTACACTGTGTTTTCTGTTCTCCTTGTACAACAAATCTGTTCCCACTTCTGGTCCTTTGCATGCGCTGTTCTCTCTGCTTAGCCCTTCTCCTTGCATGAAACGTTCATCTCCTGATCTTCACTGTCTCCTTCTTGACCGTGTTGGTCCCACTGGCACTACCTCCAATCAGTCTAGATGATGTTGCTTCACATCCTAGTCACTCCTTATCATAAACTATAGCATTTATCCGTTGAAATCACTATGTTTATTCATTTTGTTTCACTTGTCTGATCCTCTCACTATTATGTAAGCTCTGTGACAGCAGGAACTTACCTGTTGTAGTCACCATTGTTTCCCAGTGCTAAGAGCAAGACTTATGGACAGTAGGATCTTATAAGTGTCTGTGGAATAAACAAATTACTTATTATACCTCCCCTAGCACTTATCACAATATAACATATGGTACATTTTATCTTGTTTATTGTCTTTCTCCCTCATTAGAATGTATGTTCCTCATGGGCAACATTTTCTATATTTTTCTCTGCTCTGCCCTCAAGCATCTAGAATACTGTCTGGCACATAATAGCATTCAGTAAATATTTGTTGAATGAATGAATAAAATGTTAGCTATTTTTGTAGTCCTAGGTATAATGTCAGGATGAAAAAGAATAGTACAAGATAAGAAAATGTATAGCCATATGGTTGCAAATTTATTGTACATAATATAGTGGATTTGTTTCTGAAAAAAAAGTGTCAAATGGAATGTTTATAAATCAAAATATTTAAAGTGTGTTAGCAACATTTCTATTTCAAAGAATGTGTGATTGATCCACTGTATAAAACAGGGAACTTCTAAAAATAATTTTAATAATTTCCAGTAATATAGCCCTTATAAGTTAAATATTTTGTCAAGTTGCCTTACTTCAAAATATACTTACCTACAATGTGTAAAAACAAACAAAGCAGGTAGCTTTTGAACTTTATACTAGCCCACTTTAATTCTAGAATAGATTAGCAAGAAAGCTAATGGAAGATATTAGGGAGACACTTAAGCTACTCTACATAGTTCTATCTTCCCTACATCCCTTACTCACACCCACAAAACCCCTGAAAACCATAAACAACCTGACATATTTTCAAAAGGCCCTGGAGGGGGCAGTATTTCCCCCCACAGAGAACCACTGTTCTATGAATGGGGTACAACTCTGAGGTACTTTCTCCCCCTCCTCTTCTCTTTGCTATATTGGACCTTACCGCCCCTGATAGTAGTGCAAGATGGAAGAAGGAGTAAAAGGGCAAACATCTTCTACTTAAAGGGGTATGTTCCGCCCTCCCCCCCACCCCGAGTTAGCTGTAAATGCTGCCTTAGCTTGTTGGTCTGAGTCTTCAGTCCTCCCCTTTTATATTCTGGTGGCAGTGGGGTAAGGATGCTTGGTAATATGCCAGTAATATGACCTAGCCCCTCTTAGAACTTCCTGCGGAGAGGTGGCTCAACGTGGAAGCTTTGAGCTGCCCAGGTATGGGGGGAAATACGACAGAGTGGCTTAGTGCCTTTTGTTTTCAATTCTGTGCCTTCTTTCAGTGTAATTCTAAAGTATGACAAAACAAATCTATTCTTTTACACTAATTTGGAAAGGGTAACAGAGAGAAGTGTGCTGGAGTTGAAAACACCCCAGAACAAAAGCCAAACATCTGTGTGATAGCCCCAGCTCTGTTGCCACCCATTTTATGATTTGGGTCCACCTTTATTCCATCTGTAAAATGGGATTAAGGATGATTAGATTATGCCATATCTGAATTCATTTAAACTCTTCAGTGCAACTCTGAGCCTTGGGACTCCATGCAGACAATATACACTGCCCTTCTCTGTGTGTCTGGCTGTCTTTGAGGGAGGTTAGAGTTTTGATCCTCCCTCTTTGAATTTTCTCATACAAGTCCCGTGGCATCAAGTTTGGCAAGCATTCTCTCATCTTCTAAGATGCACCTCCACCAAATGAAATGTGTTTTACTTAAAATATTATTAAATTTTAGAGTTTGGAGATCATTTGTTAATAAATTGAAGTTAGGTACTTTGCACTTCTTCCTATGACTAGGTGAATATTTATGACATAGGTTGCAAGTGACTTTATCTACACTCCATGATTCTCTTTCATATATTGAACAATAGGCAGGAGTAAGGACATAAAAGTTATGAAAGATATAGATGCGCTTATAAAGGTCCTTATAACCCATTGTGTCTTAGATTTGTTAGAATCAGCGCCTAAGACAAGGATCCTTGTCCAAGTGGTTTATCAAGGATGAGCTCTCACAAGAAATCTCTGAAGGAAGGTAGAAAGCAAGATGAAGCAGAAGTTAAGCAAGGGTGTAGTTTCAGATGTCTAGCTTATCCTGACCCCATGGGGAGCTCTGGAAGGTTCTCAATCACAAGGTTTTTCAGCCCACAGGCACCTGGTCTGAGCTATTAGAACCCCACTTCAGCCAGCCCTGTGCTACAGGTCACCCATAGGAGCCAATCGAAAGCATAATCTCCCAGACATCACCAGTTGAAGTGGTTCCCATCAGCCAGGAACAAACCTATGCAGAAGGCTTGCCCTTGGCGGTGAACACATGCACCTGCTGGGGAAATGAACACCCCACCCTGGAAAGGGGGTCTAGGAAGGGCACCAACAGCATCTGCTATTAAAGGAGCCAAATCATGTCCACATGATATCCCTTAAGAGCACTTTTAGAGTCACCTAACAGGGCGCCTGGGTGGCTCAGATGGTTAAGCGTCTGCCTTCGGCTCAGGTCATGGTCTCAGGGTCCTGGGATCGAGTCCCGCATCGGGCTCCCTGCTCCTTGGGAGCCTGCTTCTCCCTCTGCCTCTCTCTCTCTCTGTCTCCCATGAATAAATAAATAAAATCTTTAAAAAAAAAAAAAGAAAAAAAAAGTCATTTAGAGTCACCTAACAGAAAATGCCATGTAAGACAGCACAGTTTGAAAGTCTAGAGGTGCCGAATAAGTGGGTACTCCAGCTAACATGTACTGAGCACTTGTTTCGTGCCACATACCATTGTACAATCTTGATTCCTCTCAAGAAATCTACAATGTAGGTAATCACATTGCTCCGATTTCCTAGTAAACTGAGGCACAGAAGTTAAGTAACTTGATGAGGGCCACACCCCTAGCAAGAGCCAAAGAGTGATCATTTCATTGGCAATAACATGGTAGGGATTCTCTGAAACAGAGAAAATGGAATTCTTTTTTTTTCTCTTTTAAATTTTATTTTATTATGTTATGTTAATCACCATACATTACATCATTAGTTTTTGATGTAGTGTTCCATGATTCATTGTTTGTGTATAACACCCAGTGCTCCATTCAATACATGCCCTCTTTAATACCCATCACCAGGCTAACCCATCCCCCACCCCCCTCCCCTCTAGAACCCTCAGTTTGTTTCTCAGAGTCCATAGTCTCTCATGGTTCGTCTCCCCCTCTGATTCCCTTCCTTCATTTTTCCCTTCCTAAGCCCTATTCCAAATCAAAGCCTCTTAGATTGCGCTCATATTTTAAAGTTCCTAAAGCGATTCTTATATACACTGAAGTGTTAGAGCCATTGCCGAGTGGAATTAGTTTTCCAAGATGGAGAAAAAATATGCAAAGGACAATATCAACAGCTAAAAATGATCAGCAGAGGTAGATATGCTTGTGAATGGTTACAGATAGTCTGAAGGCAGTGAGAAGGAAAGGGAGAATGAACTTGCGCATGGGCTCTTGAATACCAAACAATAATTACACAAGAAGGAACAACCTTTGTGTTGTCATATTGTTTCTTAAGGTAAGAACAGAAGAGCAAAAATAAAAAAGTACAGGAAACATTGACTTTGGGTACACATAGAGTGTTCTTTTCTGTATCTGTGCTGGCATATTTAGGCATTTGCCCCTAAAAATATGTTAAAATGTCTATTTCCCAGAGAAGAAGAGTCTATTATAAGATTGAGAAGGGAAATAATGTTTCCTCAAAGGTTTTGGGAATGATAACACTGTATCATACAAGGAAATAAGTTAATTGCTGATAAATTATTAGCAGAGTATTTTTATGTAAATATACAATGTTGTTCGCTGAAATAGCATGTGACCTAAATATGTTTACTTTCATAAAAATATGTCATTATAAAAATTGGACCAGGGAGACAAAGGAGAAGAGAAGAAAACCAAAAAAGGAGAGATTTTAAGTGTGATGCCACTTGGTTACAATGAAATATTTTCCAGGAAATTGCATATGGGTACCACCAGCTACTGAACCATCTTCCCCCATTGTCCATTGATCTAATTAAGGAGAAGAGATTGCTGAGAGTGCAGAAGATCCTTCTTTTATGATGTCCATCAGTATACCCACTATGTCACCTTTAACCCACTGCATTTGGTCATCATTGCTTTCCAATGCATTGTGACAATTACACAGAACTTCCTGGTATTGTTTAGAGACACATTCTAAGTAATATGCTAGTTTATTTCTGATTAATGAGGTTGTTTGCTGTATCTCCATTCTATTGGCTTATATTTCAACCTATTATATTTATAAAGAACTTATAGTAACAGTTTTTGTATAGTTCTCTGTTAATACCAGATTAAATACTCTAGTGATTTAGGGGATTAATGGGCAGTCCTCAGAATGACCTCAAACTAACTGAAATGGCATATATCATATGATGGAGGACTCTCGTGTTAGAGATGAGGGTTGGAAACCCAACCATTTACACCATGCCCCCCACAAAAAAAAAAAAGGGGGCAAAAGGGAAGGCTTTGGATGTTTAAGACTATATGCTGACTAAACTGACCTCTCCCCACATCCCCACAAACCTACTAGCAGGTGGTTAGAGTCAAATGCTTGGTTTAATCATATTAGTGAAGATTATAAAGAAGCTTTAAAATTGCAAGGCTAGTGTGTGGTGCTGGAATTGTTCAGAGAGCATTCATAAGAAATCAGTTATAATAGAAAGCTAAAACAAAGAAACAGTTCACTTAGTAAGTTAAGAGCTGAGGGAAGGATTGGCTAATATTGACCTGAAGCATGTGCAGCAATTTGGGTGTATGAACTGTCTTTTTTTTCAGCAGGCAAAAGATGCCAGTGATCAATATTGAAGACTTGACAGAAAAAGACAAATTGAAGATGGAAGTTGACCAGCTCAAGAAAGAAGTGCCCCTGGAAAGAATGCTGGTAAATTGCTGCTCTCTTCTGAATTTTATTTTAAACTATAGATTATGGTAGGGCTACCAGGTTAGTCAGGAACTGTTGCAGGGGAGCAGAATGTGCCACCCCAAACAAAATATACCTCCTTGACATAAGTATTATTTTAGGCTGGTTATTTTATTTTTTTAAAAGATTTTATTTATTTATTTGACAGAGAGAGACATAGCGAGAGAGGGAGAAGCAGGCTTCCCGCGGAGCAGGGAGCCCAATGCGGGGCTCAATCCCAGGACCCCAGGATCATGACCTGAGCTGAAGGCAGACAATTAACAACCGAGCCACCCAGGCACCCCTAGGCTGGTTATTTTTAAGAAACAGCAGGTAGTGGAGAATATCTGGAAACCAAGTAAAAGTTGCCCTTTTGTAAGAGATATTTACAGTTATAAGAGAAGTCTCCATTTATAAATGTGTCTCCCTCTCTATACCAGGAAGAGAAGGATGACTCTAAAACTCTTATTAGTAGAGAAGGCAAGGATGTAAATGCGCTTGATTTAAGTGGGCTTTTGATGACTGCTTTTCCTGAAAACCTCCCATAACTGGCCTTTCCTCCCCCACCGCCCAACATCTTTTGTCTTCAGCTGGAGATGGTATTTAAGGGGGTGTCTTGGGCCATTTCAGGGAGTTACTTCGTTTTCCTGGGTCTCTCCCATGTATAAAGGAGGTGTACATGCTATTAAATTTCTGTGTGTTTTTCTCTTGTTAATCTGCCTTTTTTATTAACAGGTGTGTCTCAACCATGAACCTAAAAGAGTAGAGGGAAAATGATTTGTCCTCCCCCACACCATTCACTGGAAAGGCTCAATGTAGTTAAAAATGAATTGTTCAGGCAAAAATTCATCAGAGATTAAGAAAATTAATAATCATAATTATCTCTTGATTTAGACTCTAAATCAAAGGTTTGGCAAACTATTTTCCATGGCCCCAATCCAGCCCTCAGCCTTTTTTTTGTATGACCACTAAACTAAAAATGTTTTTCCATTTTCATAGAGTTGTTTTAAAAAAGAAAGGAAGAGAGAGAGAGAAAGGAAATGAAGAATATGAGACAGAGACCGTATTTTAGCTAAGCAGTAAAATGAAGCAATGCGTATAGGCATTTTGCTTTTGCTTTTCTAAATTGATAAGCTTCTCTTTATTTAATGCAATACTTTGATGTTTAAATACTTTTAGCCAAGACCTCATTTCCTCCAGCACTGTCATGGCTAGTAATGAATGAGTACATTCTACTCCTTCTTTGCAAACAAAAATGAGTTCAAGCACAAGAATTCACTTATTCCTCCTAAAAACATCTAACAGATTTGGAAATGGTTACCAAGAGTTCTCTTCCATTAAAAGGAGAGGAATGGCAAAGGAATAAAAGTTTCCTTCAAACAAACAGTAACTGAAGCTTGGAAAAGGTTCAGTTCTTCATTTTAGGAAAGTAAGTAGAACAAAAACTCCTCCACGAGTGTTAAGAGTATATTTTATACTTTTTCCAAAACTCATTTTATCAAGCCAAAGCAGAAAAGGAGTTTGTATTATCTTCAAGACTCTTATTCCCAATAAAAATTGGAATTTTGGCTTCTTTTACATTTATAATTGTCTCAAACTTCCCTGGTGCCCTTTCCATACAGGCAAAACATATTTTGCTGTAAAAATAAAATTAAATATATAAACAGCACAAAAAGCTTGGAACATATAACAAACGGTTAAAATCTTTGTAATTTGGGAAAAATAAACTTTTGGGGTAAATAAAGTTATTTTTTCTTCTTGATTTGAAACATCCAAACGCTGTTTCATTATTTATTTACTCAGGATTGTTGTTTTGAAGGCAGTTTGATTGTATTCATGTTTATTATTCATTTGTGGCAAGCTCACCTGGGAGTTTTTATTTGAGGCAAACATCACATACATCACCATCTATCAGGTTTGGGGGTTCCTTTTCCCTGCTACTCAGAATCTCCTTGTTTTTGGAAGTCAAACTAATTTAATACCAGACTGCCAAAACTACACACACGCGCGCGCACACGCACACGCACACACACACACAAATTTTAGGTCCTGAACCTATAGTTCTGACACAGGATGGCATAGCATCCTTATAGAACGGTCCAGTGGATAGACACTGGAACCCTATCCCTGGTTCAGATTCTGGCTCCACAACTTTCTCCCTGTGGAACACTCACCTGAGATATCTTTTCTAAAATGGGAATAGTAACAACATCTAATTCAGAGGGCAACTGGGAAGCGTAAAAGGGGTAATATATCCAAAGCTCTGAGAACAAATACCTAGGACATAGCAAGTGCTTTCTACTATGTTTATTATAATATAATTATAATAAAATTAAATAATTATAATATATAAATATAAATATAATTATAATAATTATATTATTATTTTTATTTTAAATAATTATTTGATGTCTTTGAGCCAGACTGGTTCATAATATGCTTCAACCTATTTTGCTATCAAGGCACTAGTATTGTCAGAAGACACAACTCTTTGCAGCCAGTTTTTTAAAGCTGACAGATTTGCAATGACTGTATGTCAAGGCAATAGGCCAAGACTAAAGATAATCTTTGTAGTAATAGTTAAAAAGAGCCGCCATTTGACTGAGCATTCGTTGTATGCTCGGCACTTAATGCAACCATTGTTGCTCTTCCTTTTTCATAGATAACGTAACTAAACCTTAGATGAACTCTCTTAACTAACAATAAATACAGCAGGGAAATGGGTAGAGCCAAAATTCAAAACTGGGGTGGCCTGAATCCAGTGTCCATGCTCTCCACCATGCCATTTAATCCTATATTAAACTATATATACTTAAAATAAGCCTCACTGAAGTAATTTTTGAACACACACACTCACATAGGATTTTAGGTAATTTATTGCTCCTTATAGCCTCAGCACCTAGATAGACGTAAAAACCAACCCTTCACGGACTCTAGAATTAGGACAGTTCTGACACCCGGTTGGGGCCAAAATAGCTGGTGTTTGGAGGAGTGGGGAAAAAAGTGAACCTAAACTTAATTTTGAATTTTGAAAAGGGAAAAATGTGAATCTAAATTACTGCATATTTCAGAATTGTGTATAAACTATGAGTATCATCATATGAAGGAGCCACCTGACCAATGCCTTGCCCCAGTTTGAAATGATGTTTCCTATTATGTAGATAATGAATTTGCAGAGTTATAAAGTAATCTTAAGTCTTATGTTTAATGTTGCTGGAAATTTGCATACAAAAATGATATAAATATTGTATTTAAAAAACACAGTAAATTCGTTAGATAGCTAATGGAATGGCCACCTACTGGACTGCCAGAAATGAAATAGTTTCGTTTTAATATCATGAATAGTAGATTAAGTGAAAAGGAAACAAGTTGAACGTTAAAAGAAATTAATAATTTGAGGTTGTGTGTATATGCATGTGTATACACACACATTTATATATGTTATAGAACATGAACTCATTCTAAAAGGTGTGTTAAGTGGTACATGGACCATTTAAGCTCTGGCTGAGTCCATTAAAATACTAAAGCCTGATTTTTCATGAAGTCATTACTATAATGGTGCAGATGAATGAAGAGCAAGCTCATAAACAAAAATAATGATTTAGTTCAACAAATACTTGTTTACTGAGCACCAACTAAATGCAGTCTCTGTTCTAGATGCCTGGGATACATGTGAACAAGTCAGCCAGAGGTCCTTGACCCTTTGGAGCTCACCTTCTAGTGCACTGTCATGATCAATCATTGTAAATGAGTTTAAAATAAAATTATATGTGATACTTCTGAGAATTCAGGAGTGGTGATAAGCCTGGAATTTAAAAGTTATTCATTCTCTTCCACCTTTACAGGTCACATTTCTGGAATGAGGAACAAGATTTAATCAATGTTTACTCTGGTGACACTGTTGACCTTGTGGCCAGCTATTTTCTGGTCCCTGTTCTGATCTCCTTTAGAGAAGCTAGAGGCAGTGTCTCCTGAGAACCCTTAGCTGGAGTGTGGCCAGATGGTTCTCCTTTGCCTGAAGATATCCAGGAAGACAGGAAAAAGAGCAGCTATTTCTTCTTCTCTCCTAGAAAAGACATATGCACTGGGGGAAAGCAGAACCACATTAAAAAGAACACAGAAATTATAATACATTCTTGGATTCTGCAGTATTCTGTTTTAACCAAATGTGTCATTTCTTTCTCCTTTCCTTTAAGGTCTCCAAATGTTGTGAAGAAGTAAGGGATTATGTGGAAGAAAGATCTGGAGAAGATCCACTAGTAAAGGGTATCCCAGAGGACAAAAATCCCTTCAAGGAGCTCAAAGGAGGCTGTGTGATTTCATAAGAAAAAAAAAATGCCATGGAATAGCTTGAGCTTTAATGACAGTACTAATTTTTGGTCATCTATTACAATACTATTAAGCATGTACGTAACCTTTTAATTTATAAATATAAACTTTTAATAAAAGTTGGGATGTGATAATGCATAAATCTATATTTTTCTTTAAGTATTTAGCACAGGGTTTAGCACATAATTGACAATAAATATTGATTGACCCCTTTCTTTAACAATGACTATTAGGGGGCGGCTGGATGGCTCAGTCAGTTAAGTGTCTGACTCTTGATTTTGGCTCAGGTTGTGATCTCAGGGTCGTGAGATTGAGCCCTGCATTGGGCTCCATTCTGGGCGTGAAACCTGCTTGGGATTCCCTCTCTCCTTCTCCCCCTTCCCATTCACACTCTCTCTCTCAAAAAAAAAAAAAAAAAAACCCAAAAAAACCAACCAAACAAAAAACAATACTATGTTTTATGAACGAGTCTATATTATTCTGGTTGCCAGCATATAGTTAATGTTTTATGTTTCTTAACTTCTCTTTCAACACTACTAATATTCCAGTAAGAAATTTCATGGTTAGCCTTATATTTTTTCCAACCTTTCTCTTCCTTTATAGAATAAGGAACTCTATTCTTTTGATTCATGAAAGTCCTATCATGACAGAATGTGTGCTCTGAAGATTTTCATTGTGGATGTTTTGTTTTCTGTTTCCCTTGCTCTCTCAACCCCCAGTTAGCAGTGATGGCTTTAACATAACCTCTTCCTACATTCTTACCATTTTTACTTGTTACTGATGATATAACTTTTTACCGGAATACCAACTGGATTAAGAGGCAGTCTGTGGTCATGGAGCACAGTGGATTTAACCAGCACCAGACTAAAGGTTATAAGAAGCCAGAGAGTTCTGGCTCTGGCATTTTAGCGCCTAACTGACTCTGGATAAATTACTTACTCTTTCTAAATCTCAGTTTTTTTCTCCTGTAGGATAGGAATAATAATAGTCCTCTCCCCTTTTTCATGGGGCGTTACATATTACACTAGGGTGATTATGGCACTTCGCATACTGCCTGGCATATAGTAACAACACCCAGTAAGTGTTACCTAGTATTGTTACTGAGAAAGAAACTGGACAAATATCCAGAATCCTTTGAGATCCATGCTATTCCATCCCATCCCTAAGAAGACTTTGACTAGTACAGTCCTTTTTCCTGTAGCAGTGTAAGAACAAGATGATAGAAAAATAGCTATCTTCTGCATCATCTTACTAATCAGTTTCCTCCTGGCATCTTATAAACCAAATTTCACTACCTTTGTGCTAATGACTAAGAGATAATTGCCTCTGATTCTGTAACAAATGATGAGTGCTGATTACCGTTACTTGGGAACTGTTTTTGTTCCGCAACTTGGAAACTGTTTTTGTTGATAGTGTTTCCTTTTTGCTATCTCACATTTACAGTGCTATTTTTGGATATGTCAGTGATCAGAATACAAGGAAATGTTAACTGATTGTCATCCTTTTTAAAAACAAGAAGTGTCTATTATTTGGTCTGGAAGGGAATCTCACGGAGGTCCCAAGTTTAGCTCCTAGCACAGCCCTTTCCACTCTGACCGTAGTAAATGCTCAATAAAGATCTACTGAGCCTCGTCCAACCCCTTCATTTTGAAATGGAGGAAATCCAGGTTTAGAGAAATGAGTTGGCAGGTTTCTCAGGTCCTGACTCTGGATCTCTGGCTGAATGGTTAACACCACACTCTACCACATATCAGATATGCTTTGGGTATTAGGAGATTCCAGGATACACTATTGGAGTTTATCTTTTTCCTGAGGAGACACTCTCTTCCCTTGTTTAAAATTACAAAACTCCTCCCCAACAACCCCCTCAGCCTTTCCTATCTCCCTGTTCCACTCTCTTGTCTTCCATAGCACCCATCACCATCTAGCATACTATACACTTCACTTGTTTATTTGTTTAATGGTGGTCTGTCTCAAGGGTATTTCTATGTGCAATTGAGTGTTTATTATGTATTCCTTTTATCTTTTTTCCCCTGATTAAAAAAATATTAGAGTCTTGGCTATGGCATTTAGTAATATGTATGGTCTTAACCAACATCTCTAGCTTTTATCTAACACTGGAAACAGATTGGGGAGGCAGATGATTCTAAGTTAAAACCCTGGTTTGTCCACTTTCTACTTCAACTCTCTGAACAGCAGGTTTGTTTTTTTTTTTTTCACATATAAAATGGAAAAATAGAATGGATTCTTATATGAAAATTTAAAAATCACTTAGAACAGATATAGATAAAAACCTAATAAATGTCCTCTCTTATAATAAAATCTGGAAACTTCCTATAGTCAACAAACTTAAGTATTTAAATAATCCCTGACATGACACCCCATTTCCCCACCTTCTGCAGTTTAGTCAGACTGATCTCTCCACCTGAAATATCCCTCCACTCTAACTCATTTCAGCCTTTAGAAATCCTACTCCTTCTCTGAGGCTCACTCTAAACTATCTCCTCTGTCCCTCACTCCATCCCAAGAGTATTCTATAAATCTTTTAACTCACTTAACATTGCTTTGCTTTCTTTTATTATAGTCTGTATGGTGTCTTACTCTCGATTCTGTATTTAAATTTCCCAAGCCAGAAGCTCTGTTCATCTTTGAAACTGCCATACCAACTCATAAATTGTCTCTGCAGTTGACTTGCCTTAGTAAGTGTTCAGTTAAAAGCAGGAAAGGATAGTACTTTTTATTTTGGAGAATTCAGAATTCTTATTAGCTTAACTAAGGAATAAATCGACAGGAGGGTAACATTCTTGTTGCTCAAAAATACAGACTGTCTGCAGGAGTTGGAATAAGATAAAAATCATCGAAAGGAAGTATAGAGAAAGATAGTCTAGGAAAAAGGATGTGAGATCATGACTACCCCACAGGCTACACAGCTACAAGCAGTGAGTGATTTTTTTTTTTCCAGAAGTTATTTCAGGGCCATGGATTACTAGGTTAAAAGGAATGTGGTACGACTACAGGGAAACAAAAAATACTCTAGGCATAGCCTTAACCTTTGGCTCGTCCACGAAACGTCCTGGTACCAGTAATGAGAATGGGTTAAGCATATACACTTACTGTAAAATATCATTTGAAATACTTGCAACTTGTGGGTATTTTGTACACATAGATGAGTTTAAGCTTTAGCAAGAAAAAAAAAACTTACACTACTATTTTAATTTGAATTGATTTGATTTTAGCCAAATTTCAAAACAAGGCTAGTATCAAACTTCCTAAATTCCTAAAAGAATGTATTAACATGAGGAAAAGAGTAAACTGAGTAACAAGAATGACCAATTACAATGGAAATTAAAGTCTTGTAAAAGCAGAATTGATAAATCATTTTGATATGAATTATAAGTAGCTGTTAAGATGATCAGAGCATTAGACATAGGTCATCCTATAACTTCACATATCTCCATCTAGAAAAGGAAGCTTATGCACATAGTTACATGAAATGGGTGAGTTTATGAAATGTTCCATGTGATTTTTATAATAAATTGAACTAAAACAAAGTGAACTGAGTGCATCAAAGATGTGTTAAATATGTTCCTTAGAAACCATCATTTTAATAGCCTAAACAGTCACCATTAACTTTATAAATTCTAGAAGAGCAGAATTTGGGAAATAACCTAATTTATTTCCACCAACAAAAAAAGGCAGAGAGTATCTATGTCTTGCAAAAAATCACAAGATAAAGTAAAACCAGAACCTGGTCTTTTTGAGTTCAACCTAGCATTAAGTCAACTCCAATATAACTGCTCTTGATATTTCCTTATACATTTTCTTTTATATGGACTTTTTAACAACATACTTAATACATAAGAAAAATAGCCAAAGAATTGTTTTTCCTTTTTTTTTTTTTTTTTTTTTTTTTTGGTTGCATGTCAAGGTAAATATTTCATGGTCTTTGCTCTTTTATACTTTAAAAGTAGAAATAACCACACGGTTAGTTTTCTTAAGCAGATTTCTTTAAAACATTTGTCAAAAGACAGTGGGCTAATAAAAGTTATTTTTTGGTTATACTTTTTATTTTCATTGCAGAGTGGTTTGTACACATACTATTTTGTAAAACAAGTTTTATTGAAGGTAATATGTAAAATATAAGTAAAAAGCTAACATGACATTTGGATATAACTCATATGGATTTTAAACTTTGTTTATCCAAAAAGGTTTGTTAATAGAACATTTCTGTGAGAATACACAAGAAATTGTTTACCATGGTTGCTCTCTTAGAGGTAAATTCCATGCTTAGGGATGGGGGCTACATGCTCTTCTAAAAAGAAAAGTGTTCCCATCATTTTACCATTTAAAACCAAACAACAACAAGAAGACATTTTTCAGAATGAGGATTTCAGCATTTCCCAATTCACTTTAATCAGTTTACTTAATATGGTATTAGCACCGTGCATTATTTTGTAAGAGTAAAAACTAAAAAACAAAACAAAACAAAACACCAATATGTATTTCATCTCCAATTTAAGTCTCATAATACTGGGGAAGAATTTACATAACCACTACAGATTTATAACTGTTTATCCCTGCATGCAACTAGATGATTTCATACAGAAGAAATTTCCAGGCCAAAATAATTCTATTTTTATGATTTGGAACAGACATACATTAAGTTACTTAACCAGCTTATTTAATTTGGGCACTGAATTTATTTAATTTGGGTGATGTTAACTACTTTCACTAACTTATTTATTTTTAACCAACCTTTTAAATTTGAGCAATGGGGAATCAAAAAATATGAATTGCTTTTGGAGACTGATGTGAGTTTTTTGTCTTGGCTCACCGCATACTAACGGGAAAAGTCTGGCAGCTGATTTAACTTCTTTGAGCCTGGGAGATCCTGGAATGTGTGGTATTTCAAATACAGAAAAAGAACCTCCTAAACAGTTTCCTTTGTGAAAGCGATTTATCAGATGTGGATGCATAAACGCAATTAGAAACAAAACATACCTTAGCTAATTCGCCATTCCCCTGCCCCATCACCCCATCTATTTTATAAATTAGAAAACCAAAATCCAGAAAAAACTTCCAGTGATAGCCAGTGGCAGAGCTGGGACTAGACCCAGAGTCCTCACCACGTAGCTCATTGTTCTTCTCCTTCCAATATATTCACTGAGGATAAGCGGGTGGAACCTAGAAAGAAATTAGGAACCAACAAAAACCTGTGCTTACAAAATAGGGAGTGGCTTGGGGTGTCTAAGTTCAGGTACCTGAAATCCACAGTTCAGGCCACCACTCTTAACTTGAATTTGACTCTGTAGGCAGGAGGTCATCTCCAAAGAGAGAAACATCTGACTGCTTGGGAAGGTTTCTAACCTCCGTGAGTTATTTTTCTTCTGGTCTATTAAGGATCATTAGTTTATAGTCAGAGTGAAACTTTATATTGCAGGTAGACGTGTCACATCCGACACTTTTCCTGGCTTTACAAAAGGGCAGCAAGGTGAATCCTGCTTTCCAGCTAGTGGAGAAACCAATGCTGAGTGAATCCAGGAGAAGCCAATGCCTACATCCAGGAAGTTGCAGGAGCCAGGAATTCATAACCCTTGGTGTCAACAGCCACCCAAACCTTGGTTGATGGGGAGCGGAGAAACGCTTTCTGGTAAGAACTTTGGTTCCCGCTTCTGTCTTCTCTGGTATCATCCGTGCACCCTCCCAATCATTACAAAACATTCCCCTGAAGAAAGAGTAAGAACTCTGCTGTGGAGGAGGCAGTTTGTTAATGTCAGAAAATGGCCCTGCAAATTGTACACGATAGTCACATCCCGATGCCCCCCTTGATCCCCAAATGTGTCAAGATGTTTCGGGCATTTAACAGACTGGACGGACAGACATCAACAGTCGTGGTGGGTGTTTCTGAGATTACAGCTCTGTTTCATTTTCCTCTTGGGCCTTTTCTTAAGGTTCCCATTTCCCACAGTCCGTGTGTAACCGGGAAAAGTAGTAACATGCTGTATATTTTTGAAACTTGGGGAGGTGAGGGGCCGTTATTTCCTGCTGGGTAGTGTCCTCCTTTTCTTCACAAACAAAACCCGGATGTGACTTGGGAACGGGAAGAAAAAAAAAAAGGCACAAAAAGTAAAACTTCAGTTGTTTCTCCAGGAAAGCGGGCGCGCGCAGCCGCAAGCGTCGGCCGCAGCCCCGGCGGGTGCCCCGCGGGTGTGGCGGGTTCGGGAGCCGGCAGGGGGCCAGCGTCCCGCCCGGAGCTCGGGCCGCGCGCAGCTTCTCGGGCTCCCTCTCGACCCAGCCCTCCGCGGCTCGCGGGCAGGCCCCCCGCGCTCGTGCAGGCGGCAGAGAGAGCTAGCGCGCGGGGCCGGGCCGGCGAGGGCGGACGCCCGGCAGGCAGCCGAGCGCTCGCGGCCCTGGGAGCGCGGCGCGGAGGCGGTCCGTCCAGCGCCGGCCGGCGGGCGGCGTGCGCCCGGGCGTGCCGCGCTCGCAGCCGGTGCGCTTCCAGAGCTGTGCCCGGGCTCGGTTCTGCGGCGAGAATGCCGGCGCTTCACATCGAAGATCTGCCGGAAAAGGAAAAGCTGAAGTTGGAAGTTGAGCAACTTCGCAAAGAAGTCAAGTTGCAGAGGCAACAGGTAAATTGGCCGTCCCAGGGTATTTCCTCCTCTGAAATGAACCAAGGGCGGTTTTTCCTGGTTTGTTACCGTGAAACAGGACCGCTTTTCTGGGCTTTGGTTTTTTGGGTTTTGTTTTCTCGCTCTCCCCCCACCCCCTCCCCCCCAGCTCCTCTTAAGTAGGGCTTCGGTGGTACCTGGGAAACTGCCAGTTGATGTGGGGAAATCATAGGAGGTGAAGGAGAGAAAGGGTCCGCTGAGTAATTTAAAGCCAAATGTCACACCATCCGAGCCTAGGGTTGGGGAAATGGACAAAAAAATCTGCCTGCTGTTACTTGGTTTTAAAAACTCAAATTGTAGGCAAAAGGCAGATGGCTATCTCGTTCCTTGATCTCTTTCATAATGGGACAGAATGGTATTTTGGTGTTTTTTAATCACTATTTAATTCATCACAATTTAGGTAATTTGAATTACATAAGTTTGAATTTCACCAGGCCTCTCCAGAGGTATGCAATGAACAGCTCACTGGGGCTTGGGAACAAAACATTACAATTTCTATTTTTATTTATTTGTAACTCTCATCCCTTTATACTTTTCACTTTGTTTTATAAGTACGCACAGTTAACTAATACAGTAGTATCTGCATTTATTTATAAATAATTATACATATACTGAGGTGCATATGAAAATTTTTTTTTTTTTTTGCATATGAAAATTCTTTTTAGCGATCATGATTAAAAATTTTAGAGACCACTGAAGTGGATTACAAATTCAGTGAGAGCAAAAGTCTCGGTGTTCAGAAGTCTCCACTGAAATGTGTTGGAGATTTTGTACTTTTGACTTCTTACTGGTAACTTGAGCATGCATTTCTTCCTTTTTTCCTCAGTCAGGCAACCTATAGTCCGGGAATAGGTTTTTTGGATATTTTTTAAAGGAAATTATCTAGTCCTTTTCCACAGCAAGAAAAATATAAACTAATTTCATTTCTCCATGGTTTAATACTATAAAAAATAAGAAAAAATAAAATTAAAAAATGGCAATTAAACAGGTATGGTAAATAAGCTCCTTTACTTTCCTGCCCTAGTTATGGCAAATCTATTCATGACAGAGTCCTGTTACTCAGGATGAACATTTTGAATGATACTTGGAAAATGCAGGTGTTTTTGAGTTTTACTCTTTACATGTTTCTTTTTCTGAAATTTAATCTTTCACTTCCAAATCCCTATTCTTCCTAGATTTTGGAGTGCAAAGTTGTTTCTATCCATGTTGAAAGTTTTTGTAGCTTTAAAAATACTGCTGTGTTTAAAGGAATAAACAAAGCTGTGGGACCCAAAGAATAGGGTAGTTTCTTGAAACTTTAAGGGACCCATTTTGTGGATGGCAACGTGCAGTCTTTGTTGGCCACTTAGATTTTTTTTTTTTAAGATTTTTTATTTATTTATTTGACAGAGAGAGACACAGCAAGAGAGGGAACACAAGCAGGGGGAGGGGCAGAGGGAGAAGCAGGCTTCCCACAGAGCAGGGAGCCCTATGTGGGGCTCGATCCCAGGACCCTGGGACCATGACCTGAGCCGAAGGCAGATGCTTAACGACTGAGCCACCCAGGCGCCCCTGGCCACTTAGATTTTTTCATGCAATACATCTTAGAGGTTACATATTAAACAGAGTTGCATAGACTGAAGTATGGCACTGTTAAAATATCCTAGTACCAGAGTGTGCAGAACTTATAGGAGAAAAAAGAGACAAGTGTCGTCTAGGTATTTTAAGCTTCATATTAGAAATGGGGCAGGGGCCTGGATGCAGCTGACTGTGTAGAAATTGAAAGTATCATTCATGAGCCGTTCCTCCCTGCCAACTGCCCACCTGCACTCCTTAGGACACACCCTGCCCCCTGCTCAATCAGTTTTCCAACTCCAAGTGTATGTCAAAGGGAGAGAAAACTTAGGGGATACAAGGAGAGGCATCTAAAATCCTAATAATAATATTCAAACATATGTTATCACACACTTCGATTTATAGAGTTTTAGTGTTCTACAACCATTATGGCTCTTAGAGATCATTCAGTGCTCTCATTTTTAAGAATAAAAAACTTGAATCCCGAGGAGGCTAAGTACCTCCTTATTTAAGACCTCAGAGATAATGATAAGGGTGTGTACTAAAACACATGTGTTCTGATGCCCAGTTCATTATTCTGTCAATAAATTGCTCATGTCTGAGCTGTGTGCTCTGCTCAGGCCAAGGACACAGAATCCACAGGCTGAATTCTGGCTCCAGCTAATTGTTGTTCAAACATATCTTCTTGATCACGGAAGGAAATGCTCAGAGGAGCAACTATTCACTTTTGGAGGTTACAGATCTCTTTGGAAACCTAATGAAGAAGCCTCTATAAGAACAGATACAATTTGGGGGAACTCTAATCTTATCCACACATATCTCTGAGGAGACAGACCCCAGGTTATGGTTACTTTTATCTGTACTTCTGAAAATTCACATAAAATGCATGCACTATAAATGTCAGCAACAAATAAGAACAATTGTTACCCAAGAGAATGGTACTTGAAAAGATTTTTATTTCACCACATTTTAAGTCATATAACTCCATCACCTAGTTCTAAATTTTAGAACAGTGGTCTTCACATTGTGTGCAAAAAGTATGTGGGGTATGGGAGTAAAATATTAAAATTTCTACTTTAAATCTCATTTTTTGACAGTTTCCAGCTTATGTTTTATAATTACACATTAAGTATAACACGGCATCTGTACTTATTTATAAGTAAATAATTACATATTATTACATAGTTATATACATTTTGGGATACATATGCAAACATGTTTTTGTGATCACCATTAAAACAATTTGAAGATTACTAATCTAGATTACAAATTCAATGGGAACAGTTTCCCAGGGTTAAGAGGTTTATTAGTTTGTTGGAGCTTCGGTAATTTTTATTTCTAATTTCTTCTTAGCAATAGGCCTTCATTAAGACACTAATCCTTTTTTTTTTCCTTTTTTATTCCTTTTTCTTTTTTAAATTCGCTCTTGCAATCTGTCTATGAAGGAGAGAGTTTTGGAAAAAAACTACTCAATCCTTTCTCCATTGCAGAAAAAGTTTCAACTAATTATATAAACACAAGAATCTCGGATAAACCTAATAAACCTCAGATAAATCTTTAGTTATGATCATTGCCCTCAAGCAATGGGAAGGAATTCCAAATAGAGATACAAATGGCATGATTGGGCAACCTCAACCTCCCCAGCATCAGACATTCTCCAGTGTTTCTATCATTTTGTAAAATTGCAGAACATGGCACACACCCATGATAAGTGAGAATTTTGGCAGGACACAGCCCAAAACATTTGGGGATTATCTCTTACTGCACCTGTTCATTAGCATGGGAAATTGAAAATGTGGTATGTTTTAGTTCATAAAATACTATGAATACTACATCGTAATTGTATTTTAGCAGAGGAAAGAAATCATATGAGGCACAGTGGATAGAAATTGCTGGGGATGGTCTGTTTAATACAATGACTTCCAAGCTTTCTGACCCTCACCATAGTGAGAAATATATTTTAACGTAGATTGTGTCATTCGTATATAGCGTATATATTATACATGCTTTGCGCTACTATTTTTATACTATTTCATTTTTTAAAATGCTAGCTGTACTCAATTATATTAATTTCACTAACGGGTGGTAATGAAGTGTAGACAATCCTGATCTAATTCATTCTTTTTTTTTTTTTCCTTAAGGTGTCTAAATGTTCTGAAGAAATAAAGAACTACATTGAAGAACGTTCTGGAGAGGATCCTCTGGTGAAAGGAATTCCAGAAGACAAGAATCCTTTTAAGGAGAAAGGCAGCTGTATTATTTCATAAGTAACTCTGGAGAGAAATTTCATCCTCAGTAGAAGAACTAGTTTGTTTTGGTTTTCTGAAATAAAACCGAAATTCCTTTTAAAGAAGGAAAACAAAATTTAAGGACTTTCTTAAACACTTATATTGATACGGTTATGTATAAAAGCTGTGTGCTTCTCATCTTTGCTCACTATACCCCCTTGTTAAGAGGGCAGAGAGTATCAAATGTACAATTACGGAAATAAGGACATTACTTGTGCATGACTCACTTCTTTCAGTATATTGCTTGATGCCTTAAATAAAGTTTTATCTCTGGAAAATGAGTGTTGGCAATTTTAAAAGGTACTTTTTTTTTTTTTTTGGCATTTACTTTTATATTTTTCCCCATAACCTTTCACGTGTTTGGGACATGTATCAAAGGATTAGGGGATTTGATAGATAAGTTCTCTAATCCAGCTCTCTACTTCAAATCTCAGTTGGTTTACAATACTGAGTTCTGACTTCTGGAATGTTTCTGATCTAATTTTATCTATTAGGGAAGCGAGTGAGTAGAATTCCTAACATTGACGGACTGTCTGAGTCAGGAACCACATTAGCACCCGAGCGCCGCATTACCACTCACCGTACAGATCTCGGTCAAAGTGTTGCTTTCATAGTGCTCTTGGGGAAGGGCCATGTTTGGGGTCCAGGAGAAGCCCCCAGGAGGTCAGCCCTGCATGTCCACCCTCAGGGAGCTGCACCTCCCACAGGATCTTCCCGTCTTGGGCACGGTGACCCTCTGGCTCTGTGGCATTGACAGAGATACCTGGCTCCGACCTATTCCTACCAGCCTTTTCCAGCAAGCTTAGGCCAACCATACCGCCTTTCCTTCTCCTCCAAAGGGACCAGTTAATCTTTTGCCCATTTCTAAAATTAGCTTGTTTTATTCTCCCCCTCATTGATTTGTAGGCATTCTTCATATATTTTAGCCATTGTCAGTGATAGGTGTCTCCAATGCCTTCTCCAGTCCATGGCTTAACGTTTCATGGCAGGATGGTAGCTGCCACGGCTTTAGCCCCTGGGTGCAATGCCCCAAGGTACACGGCCCACTTGAGTTCTTTATGAAGGCACATGCAGCAGCGACCTCAAAGAAAGCAACCTTTCTTCTTCTCTTGAAGCATTTTCCCCCCTCTCCCTCTGTTTTTTGAATGGCAGTTGTTCAGCGTTTGAGCCAAAACCCTTCCAGGTAAGTTCCAATTCTAATGGGCTTAGTCACTAACGCGCCCTGCAATTTTAAATGTGGCACCAGAAGCCCAGGTTTGTCCTTGACTAGGTTTTTTTCTCCTGCTTAGACCCAAAAGTGTAACTTATAAAGCCAGAGAGGTGCCCGTGACTTCTAGCAGCTTCCTAATGCATATCAGCCTCCTCGCTCTGAAATTGCTTTCCTTTTCCCTCTCTGAGAGGGAACAGGATGCCCCAAGCTTTTGAAAGAGCAGGTTACAACGAACCAAGAGCAGGGACTATTTCCTTCAGTTTCCTGCCGTTTTCCAAGTGTTGACGTCAATTGGGATTACTGAGAGCCCAAGGATAATTTTAGCCCAAAGCATGCTCTACTCCAAGATGAGATTTAAGAAAAGTAAAGGCATAATTTTTCCAACTGCCATAGAACAATTTGTATTGGGATGTGTTGCTACTATTAGTCATTTCACATTTAAGTGGCCTGGGATTTTAATACTTTGGGGCTTGTGAAGTTTGACTTTAATGCACTGTTTCAGGTCTCTCGAGTCATGGAGTTTTCTTGTGTTGCATGAAGAAGCAAGCATCTATTCTTATTCTTGTTAAGGCAGATCAGATCACCTGCTTTCTTCATGGAGGGCCAAGTCAATGGATTTATCCTATAACTTGTTCAGACTTATGGCTGAGAAGGCTGTGCCCTCAGTTTCTATTAGCCACATTCAGCTGCCTGTTCATATACCCCTCCAAGTCCTAGCCTTTGCTTTTCATGTACTTTCAGCCAGATGACAACTTAGCCCACTTCTGCTTTTTCCTTAATAAATTCCCAATCTTGTAGATGTTTCTACTAAATCTAATTCTGTTCTTTTTTTTCCTTACTGTTTCATCATAGTATTTTGGCAAATATGCAGAAGTGTAATAAAATCCTCTTGATTTTCAAGTGTTCAACTGCTAAAAACTTACTAGCTTACATTAGGAAGGAAATGAAAAATACGGTAACTATATATTTGAGTGTATTATAAAAAGTAACCTTTAGTAAGTGGGAATTTGTTAAGTAGAATTTAAATCATGTGTTCAGTTTCTTCCAAGTATATAGTTGTGTTAATCATTTGGTATCTGATTAAATAGTTGCTATGCTTTGTGCATTGAGACCCAGGTTCTATGAACTCATTAAATTAGCAAAATTGGCTTTCCTATTTCTATTCCTATTTAAAAATAAAAAATAGAACAAGTTTTATATTACTATGTTTAAGCTTTGGAGAGTAAGTATATTTTGGTATTAATGTCCTATGAATCAGAAATAAGTCTGTATAGTCAATATGATCTGATTAATAGTATATTTGGATCTATTCAGCTCATCCCACCAAGTAAGACAGAAACATTAAGTCAGTAATAGTTATAGTCCACCCTCATCCCCTCTAACTGAGTCTTAGATGGATGATAAGCAATGAAAAACAAGCCCCTATTTCTAGTATTACAGTCTAGGAGAATAGGGACTAATCAGAAGATGTCTTTGATTTAATAAAGCAGTAGAATGAACACAGAAGGAAAGCGCTGTGGGATCTCTCCTGTTAGAATAAACCCTGATACCCTACTTGGTATGTCCACTGTCCTAACCAGGGAAGACAAGGGCATCAGCAGCACCTTTTCCACTCGGGCTACCTTCAGTTTGAGGGAATGAATCCACAGACCATTAAAAACCATCCACTGGCACTAGGAAAACGTAGAGACACATTGATGCCATTTCTTCCTTTTTCTTTTGGTTCACACACACATTAAATAATGGCCTTTTTTTACATAATTTCATTGAACATGAAAATGGGCAGGAAGGATTAAAATAGGTGGTTTATAAATTTCAGAAGTTGACCTAAAAGTTAATGTGCAAAAGTTACACTTAAAATGAAAGGAAAAAAAAATAAAATGAAGGGAAAAGGTCCTTGTAAAATTAACAGTCATGAAAAACAATTCACATTGGCATATATAAAAATGTATGCATTTATTTATTCAAAACCAAAAATATTTGGAGATCTATGTACTAGGCACTGGTTTAGGCCCAAGGGATATAGTGGTGAATTAGACCAAGTCCTTAACATCATGAAATTTACAGAAATTATAATTAATCAGATGTAGGTGGAAATTACAGAGTATCTTATAACGTATAGGTTAGGATAAATAGGAAAGTGGTTTTTCTACTTTTTAATGATAACGCTGATGATGGCATCATGATGATGTTGATGATGGCGAGAGCTTACACATATGAAATGCTTAGTATTTGTTGGGCGCTGGAATAAGCCTTTTTACACAGATTATGTCTTTTAATTCTCACAAGTACCTTATATGTCGGGTAAATAAATTATACAAAGTCATATAACTACTTAACTGGCAACACAGAGACTGTGCCCTAAACAATACGCAGTACTCTGTCTCTCGTAGGAGCCAATATATGTGCAGAGTGAAAGGAACTATTAGCTCAATAATTTTCTGAAGTGGTTTTTGGCACACATACAGCCAGCTACTAGAGCCTCAGAAATGTTCAGCCCTTGTGTATGACATAGCATTTTATAGTAGCTTATTTCAGTTGTTTCTACTGGTGGTTTGGTTGGTTAGTTGGTTGGTTGTTTTTCTGTAATCACAGCCTAATAGAAAAATTTTAACCTATACAAAGGGGGTGAATTTTGCTTTCTTAGTAAAAATCCTATCACAACCTGAATTTTTGTAACAGTGATAACCTCTAATTATATACCAAGTAGCACTTGCTCATTTGCTGAATAATATAGTATCTCAGTTTAGTACCAGAATTGAGTCTGATAGAAGCTACATGAATTATGGTAGAGTGTCTAGAAGAAATAAATCAGACTCTGTAAGGACTTTCTTTACCAAAATTATTGACTTGTAGTTAGCCCTAGAGAATTCCATATAGGTACCAAAGAATCTTTTCTAAGAAGTGATTGAACTCATTCTCTGTAAAAACTTGTATGTTTTCCTTAATAAAGTTAGCCATTGGCTTTAGCTCATGTCATCCCAGCCTCTTCTTACATCCAGCCTGAAATGCAATGTGAATGACCTACTTCCCAGAGTTGTCTGGGAATTATTGAGCCTGATTCTCTAGGCTGTGAGTACAGCTCTTTAAATCCATAAAAAGTCCTCATGTTTTGGTATTGATCAGTAGATACTTTCATTTCCTTTTTGGAAGTAATCAGATTAAATATAAATATATAAAATATTTTTTTTTTCTGCAGATTTAGTGCATTCATTCAAACTTTCACAGCCCTGTTTGGTGTAGCATACGGAAGGAAAGAAAGGGAGTTGGTCTCACCTTACTGAGTGTTTTGAAATAGTATTGAAACCTGTATGTGTCTCAATCTAAGAAGGAAAAATGAAGAGAAGAGAGAAACATTTAAACTTGTATTAAATCATTTGAAAACATAATCGAAAAACTGATAAATATTAACATAGTTCACTGATTACTTAAGAACAGTTCAAAGGCCATTGTTGCTAAATGTTTCATCTTTGTAACTGAAGTTATAACTTGTTAGCAAGGAACACCACAATATGGACTTGGGTGCTCTTTAATTGCTAATACCGAGACTTGCCTTTTTTTCTTTTTTGGTTTTAATTCATCTTTGAAAGATTGCATGCAATTGGATTTTCAGCTGATTCTTATTTACACACATTAATATAAAAGCAGATATAAGGTAGAATAAATTAATATTTATTAACATTTGGATTTTTCAGTTTAGGGCAGGGAATAATTTAGACATTTAAAAACAATTTGTTTTAATTTGATTTAACAAATGGATTAAGGACCTGTAAACATGACACTCTTGGACAAGTTCAGCCAATATTTTTCTTGCATTCTAGGAATTGGCAGTCGAAACAAATGGTAGTGACATTTATCAAGTCCAATTAATTAAATCAATTTATGTACAAAATGTAAGTGGATTAAGTGCTTGAGAAAAAGGGGATAATAAGTGAGTGATTAGTCGAGTAAGACCAGAACATTTCTACCCTTTGAGGAAACATTTCATGGAAGGAGACACAATCGCTAAAATGAAGGAAAAGAATTTGTAAAGTATGAAACTAATAGGAAGAAATTTCACTTATTGAGTGC